TATGATAAACAGATGGATATGAGTATACACGTGGGCACTTACTGGCCTCACATTTTCAGCCTTATTAGCGCCCTGTGAGCTTGTCCAGGGTCACTCAGCTACTACATGTCTAAGGCAGTATTTGAAGACTTCCTTACTCTAAGTGCAGGACTCTCTCTTTAGTGTCAGTGGATGAATAAGACATTTCCAATCCTCGAGAAGCTTGCAATATAAAGGAGAGACAATAATAACAATAGCTCACCTTTTTGACAGTCTTTATAGTTTATAAAATGCTTTCCTCATAACTGTGAGGCAGGTGGTGAAAGTATTAATAGCCCCATTTTACAGATGCAGGAACTGAGGCTGTAAGAGGTTAAGTGACTTGCTCATAGTCCCAGAATGAGATGGTACCATAGTCAGAATTGAACCCAGGGGGTTGGCCTCCAGGTCCACCACCCTTTCTGCTAGTCATTCTCACTACAGTACAAAATAGCACGTGATAATGGTTCAAAGAAAGGTGCAAAGTGCCAGGGGGGTCAAAAGGAGGTCTCCCTTTTTTCTAGGACTTTCTACAGAGAAATCCAAAGCCAGAGCAGCTTCCCTGGGAAGACCGAGGTTGGAAAGGCTTCTCCTGAGTCTACTGCTGGCCACTGTCCCTTTCTTGTTGTTATTCAGTTGTTTCTGTCATGTCAGACACTTGGTGACCCTATTTGGGGTTTTCTTGGCAAAGATACTGGAGTGGTTTGCCATTTCCTTTTCCAGCTCATTTTACAGATGAGGAAACTGAGGCAAACAGGGTGAAGTGACTTGCCCAGGGCCACACAGCTAGTGAGTGTCTCAGGCCAAATTTAAACTCACAAAGATGAGTTTTCCCAACTCCAGGCTGGGTACTTTGTCTACTTAGCCACCTAGCTGCCCCAAACTTTTGTGCTCTAAAGAAATATCCTCTGGTCCACCTCATTCCCCCAGGGCCCTGAGCACAGAAGGACATGACAGGTAGTGGAGCACAGTGGAAAAGGTACAGGATTTGGAGTCAGAGGACCTGTGTTCAAATCCCACCTCTGCCACTTACACAAGCCTGGGTGACTTTGCACAAATCACTCCAGCTCTCTGGGTCTCAGTTCCCTCATCTGTAAAATTTAGAGGCTGTACTTAAAGCCTCCCCAAGGTTCCTTCTTGCCTCTGAATCTTCTTCCTCCATGGCATCATCAAGGACCAGCTCTCAAAGGAGCCTTCAACAATCCAGGATAAGCCCCGTTCCGAGCCCAGGGATGAAGCACAAAGGCCCCAAAGAGGAGGGAAGACAGCCTCGTCCTTCCTTCCCTCCCCCTTCCCTCTTTTGCAAAGGACAAGTCATGTGTGAGAAGCACCAGGCTGAAACGCATAATGCAGTATCGACTTGGGCATCCCCATTTTCCTACAGAGTCTGGCCACATAAATCCCCATCCCAATACTATTTGTATTGATTAACTGGGCTGGAGCATCACTGGACTCCAGGTCTCACAAACAGATGGGGTCTCAGATCCTCATCTGCATTTCTAATGAGACATTTAAATGGAGCAGCAGCATGGAGGTTTCCAAGCCCCTTCGCTGCCCTGAAGGGGCAGCATATTTCTTTCCGAGGCTGGGAGAGAAAGAAGTGAGAGGTGAAGTGACCAGAGTGGTTCCTTGGGGAAGTAGAGGAATTGCAGGGAGTAGGGGAAGATGGGGATAGTCGTGGTATCTGGAAATTCCTTGCCTCAGTTTTGTATGTGATGCATTCATCCACCTAGCTCATCTCGCTATCTGCCATTGCACCTGTGAATGCATCCTTTCCCTCCCCCTTTCTATTATCCCTTCCTGATCACTGCTCCCTATAGGTGTGGTCTTACCCTATGAGAATGTAAGCTCCTTGAGGGCAAGAACTGTGTGTTTTTAAAAGAGTTGTATCCCCCTCGCTAAGGCCAACACCTGACACAGTAGGCACTTAATAAATGTTTTTCCATTAATTAATTTATGCCTCTTGCTCTCCCATCTTTCTAGAACTGGAACAGCTGCAGAATTGGCCAAGGGATTACATGCAGAGATGGTTCCAATCAGACTCTGACCCTCACATCCGAGGCTCGGCCAGACCCCAGGGCCTCAACAACAGCCCAGCCTCAGAGGCTCACCAACAGGGGGCGGTGCTCCCTCTAGAGCAAATTGTACAAATATTATCTCGCTGAAAAAAGCAAGAAATATGAAGGATTCAGAGGAACCTGGGAAGACACACAGACCAGAGCAGAGCAAAGTAAGTGGAACCAGAAGAACTGACACGATGGCCACAAGAATGAAAAGAAAACACCATGGAATGACGTTAGAAAATGGTCATCAACAGAGTGACTTCAAAAGGTCACAGACTTAGAGTTAGAAGAGACCTTATTTTTAGACAGGAGGAAACTGAGGCCCAGAAATTAAGTGGTATGTCCCCCCCAATTTTACAAATGAGGAAACTGAGGTCCAGAGAGATCAGGTGACACATCCTCAGAATCTGAGGCAAGATTCAAACCCAGGCTCTATCAATTGCAAGTTGCACTCTATTCACCACTGCTGCCTCCACACCCTACCATCCCGCCCTCGCCCAGCTGAGGGTCGGCTATGCTTCCTGCCATTCCTCAGAGAGTCAGTTGACTACAGGTATGAAATGTCAGAGATGGGCAATCTGTCTGTCTGAGCTGACTATACTCCTTTTCCTTACAAGAGAAGGTAGTTATTGAGAAACGGCCACAGTGCTAAATTTTTAAAAGGGCATTAATTAAATATTTTAAAAAGACTTGTTTAACCCACTGTCCTGATTGTCACTCCCAGCGATCCTCCCAGAGCTCCGAGGAAACACTGCCACCCAGGCCTAACCCAAAGAGAAGGGAGAAACCTGGGGGACGGAGGAAGACAGAGGAAAGAGAATGGCAAAATCACCGAATGTGGAACCTGGAATGCACCTTAAGACCACTGAGTCCAGTCCCTCATTTTATGGAGCCGGAGAAGTGACTTTCCCAAAGTCAAACAGCTGGTAAAGGACAGAATCGGACTTGGAAACCTGGTCTTCTAATTGAGCCGTTCTGTTCCCCCAGTGAAAATAAAGAGAAGAGAAACATGAAGGGATGAGGGTGACAGGGAGAGGGGACAGACAGGGTGTAGGGATAAGAGATGAAGAGGAGAGGATATGGGGGAGAGAGAGAGAGAGAGGGAGGATCACAGGGAAGCAGAGTGAAGGAGAGATGCAGGGACCCTCTGACATCGAGCTCCTGGGCAGCTGGGCAGTGCAGGGCTCAGAGCTCAGCTTGCCCAGCCCAGCCCAGCCCCCGGTGACCGTGCAGCTGCCACACTCTGGGATCTTGAGATGAGGTCAGCTCTGCCCCGGGGCTGAGTGAGTGAAAATAAATGGAGTCTAAGATAAAAGGTTCAAGAAATTATTTGTCTTGTTGTCATGTCACAACTGTATCGGGCAGGAGCTGGGGGCCTGGCAGGCCAGGCATCCTGCTGTTTCAGCTGGAGAGCTCCCAGGGCACTACCGCCCCCCCCAACACACACACACACACACACACACACACACACACACACACACACACACACACACATATACAATCTACCCACATACATACACAAGGCCCAAGTCCCCTGGCCCCCCAAGCCCTGGTCCACCTCCCCCAGCAAGCATACATGCAGCTTCCACTGTCTGAGACTCCAAGACCATCTCATCTCAGGCTACAGACCTCCCCACCCCCCTAGCTCTTCTCCAAGGATCTGACTCCTGGGAATAAGCAGATTATAAAGTTAGAGCACTCCTTCCCCATCCCAGACTTAAAGGGCAGGGCCTACAAGGAGGGGCTAGACAGTCTCTAAGCACCCTAAATTCTAAGGGTCTATAATTCTCTGATCCTTTCCTATGGGGACTGCATGCCTAGACTAAAAAACAGAGATGCTAGCATTTCCTACGCTTCAGCTCAGGCCCAAAGGTTTTCCCTTTGGAAAACAAGAAGATACCAGTGAGAAAACGGATTGGGTTTTCTGTTTTTCTGCCTGTATAGAAGGAAGGGATGGAGTAATGGATTTTCTTTTCCTCAAGCCTTGAGCCAATAGCAATTTGGAGGTTCAGGAGACCCCAAACAACCTCATAGTGTCATCCCTAGAGTTTAAGTAGAACTCAGTCATCAAAAAAGTTCCCTGAGGGTCAGAGAGCACATAAACAGGGCATGGCAATTGAGGCTCTGCCACAGGGCAAACAATTTAGAGGACATCAAGAAACAGAAACAACAGAGCTTAGTTTTAGTAGCAAGCTAACAGACAGTGCACTGGGGTCAGTGCCTCTGCTACCCCCAGAGTCCTTTTCCCTCTCCAGCAGTGGTCTTTCACCAGTGTCCCAAGGCCTCTCTTTCACCCCACAATGAGATACTTTCTTCCGTCCCTTAATTGGGGGTGTACTTTCTAGTTACAGCTCTGGAATCAGGGAAAAGAAAGGAAGGCATTCCACACCACTATTGCACGCTGAAAGCTGACATGGTACCCATGCACATATACACACACAGCTGCCCACTGGGTATATGCCACCACAGAATCTCAGAGCTAGACGGGGCCTCTGAAGGCTGCTAGTACCACTCATGCCTGAATAAGAATCCCCTCCAGTGATTATCCAGCTTAAAGACCTGTAGTCACCGAGAAGCCAGGAAACCCCCCACCCCACCCCCACCCGGAGCCAGCAGCCCATCTCACTTTGAGATGGCTCTGGTTGCTGGGAGGTTTTTCCTGATATTTAGCCTAAATCTGCCTTTTTAAAAGGAGGACTGTTTAGTCAACAAAGATCCAGAGAAAGCCCTCACCCTGCTCGGTTTCTTGGAGAAGGGGCTGGTGAAGCAGCAGATCAAATCACTTGACCCCGTGCCCAGGACTCTGTGTACCCCCGTACCCCCTCCCTCGGGATTCGGTAGCTATTTCAGCCGATGAGCCCCGCCCCAGGCTCACGAGGGGGCTGGGGGAGAATCCCCGAGCCCAGCGAAGTCTCCTACCATATTTGTCTCCATCTTCCCCTTTGGCGCTAATCCTCCGGCCCAGCACCTGAATGTGCTTCCCGCTCGTCCGGCTGTACAGCTGGTACAGCCTCAGCTGCTTCCTGCTCACATCATCCCGAGCTCTCGTCTGGTTCTCCACATGGACACGGAAATCCACGTTCTCCTCAGCCGCCAACACCTGTAAGGGGGGAGAGACAAGGTGACTCCTGGAACAGCGAGCTCGGGGTCCCCAGTTCTCTTCCATAGGAAAGGCCTCACAGGGAGTAAGGGTGGGGACAGAGGGGAGCTGGGGCTGACGGCCCAGAGCCCCTGCACTGGTTTCAGCTGTGGTTCTGAGCAACTGTGGGAAGCAATGTGTGACCCTCATATGACAGGGCGGGAGAAGACTAGGGTGGGGAAAATATAATAGGACAACGGGATTGGATCCCTATGTTTAGAGCTGCAAGGAACCTTGGAGGCCATGGAGACCAGCCCCCTCATTTTTACAGATGAAGAAACTGAAGCTGATAAAGGTTAAGTGACTTGCCCAGGGTCACACAGCTAATAAATATACGAGGCAGGATTTCTGCAGTGCCAGCTCCCCCTGACTCTAAGCTCAGCACTTTATCCACAAAGCCACTTAGATGCCTCGAAACTGAGGAAAGAGAGATTAAGTGACTTGCCTAGGGAGGAGTTGAATCCAGGTCTTCCGGACTCCAAGTTCAATACTCCATCCTGTACATCTCACTGTTCCTCACAGTGGAATCTGCAGATCTGGGTTCCAGTCTCGGCCCTGTCACTGACTTGCTGGGTGGCCCTTAACTTCACACTGCATCAAATTTCCTTCTCTATAAAATGGGAGGGATAAAACCTGCCCTCCAACCTCACAGGACGGTTATGAGGATCAGACGAGACGATGGGTGAGAAAGAAGTGCAATACAAACACAACACGGCCTTATTGCAGCTTTCAGGAGACAGGGGGAAGACTGAGGCACGGAGCAATGGCGTCCTCTTGCCCAAGTTAATTAAGGCAGATTCAGAATGGAAAGCCAGATTCACCTCCTGACTCAAGATTCTGGTACTACAAGAGAGACTCTCCTCCCCTGCTCCCCCCACCCAAGGCCCACAGAAAAATGACTTCCTTAGAACCAAATTCCTCCTCTGCCCTCCCAGTTTGGCCAACTGGGGGGCTTCAGGGTCACGTGAAGAAATTGTCACCATGAAGTGGGATTCTGGATCCTATCTACGGGAGGAGAGCAGCAGAGCATATGCCCAGAATTTCATCAGGAATAAGAATGTCCATCTTTATCTCCGAATACTCCCAGCTCAGCCTCCACTCCAGTCAAATCAACATCCTCGTCTTGTCCCATAAATACACCACAAGCATTCCAATCTCGATGCCTTCTCCATAGGGCGCATAGAGGGTGGGCATGGTATGTCACCACCCCCTGGGTATGCCAACACACTAGGCCCATGCTCTATGCACTTCTGTGTCCTACAATCATACCGTGTGTTCCGTCTGCTCAATTCAGGTCCCCTCCCTCTTCTGACCTTCCAAATCCTAACCATACTTCCAGGTCCAGATCAAGCCCAATTTTTCTCTGTGAAATCATCCTTAATCACTCCAACCCACCCTGACTTATGACTCACAGTACGGCGGAAAGAGCTTGGGTTCAAATCTCATCTCTGATGCTTACCACCTATGTGACCTTGGCATATCACTTAACTTCTCTGCATCTCACTTTCCTCAACTATAAAACGTTGGAGCTAGACTGGATAGCCTTTGAAATCCCTTCCAGCTCAAGAACTAGGATTCTACACATTCCTAAAACAGTCAATTTACATTCTGAACCTCACACGGTGGCGAGTTTTGTTCAGTATTGTTGGCATCTCCCACGAAATTACAGGACACTGCATCGTGACCTTTGCACGCATCCCAACCCAATGATTCTCTCTTTGTGAATCAAATCTCCACCAAGGACTAAGCTTAGGTCCAAGGGTCATTAACACATAGAGACATACTTCTAGAAATTTGCAGTCCTACTTTGGGCTTAGGAGCCTCTGAGGAAACTGAGGCTCAGTTTGGCCTCAGCCCTTCTTGTTGATGCTAATAAAGAAATTTAACCCACTGAGGGAATCCCAAAGACTTTTTTCCAGGAAATCACACCCAATTATGTCCCACAATATTCTCTCTCTGTCTCTCTCTTCTCCCTTCTCTCTGCCCCTTTCTCTCTCTCTCTCTCTCTGTCCTCCCCCACACCCGCCCCGAGAGAACTATGTGTCATAATTCATACCTTAGGTTTACTAAATGGATTTAGATTGTGGTTCCCCTTGGGCTTAGTCAGATGACTGGTAGCTTGTTTATAGGATGAGCTTGCCTACAATCCCATCCATCTCTGAACCTGAATGATGTCAGTATTTTGATTCCTCAGCAGCCCAATGCCTCTCTCCAGCCCCTAGAAACAAGTCTCAAGGATTCCTGATTCACCTTCAGACAACTCATACTCACCAGGGACCTTATTGATCAGAGGTCAAACCAATCTGATGACCCCACATCCCCCACAGATAAGCAGGAAGTCACTGTTCCCCAGAAGCCAGCCCCACATTAACGATTTTCTTCCTGACCCCTCCCGACACAAAGGGGGTGACCTGAGGTCATCAGGAGGTACTGGGTGGAGTTTCTTCCCCAGGATGTGGGAAGAGTAATCATCTCTCGCAGTCTCTACCGCCTGAGCCAAACCCAGCTATTAGATAAATCAGGAAACACCCCAAGGTGGCATAAGGGGCAGGGATGACCACAAAGGGGACACCGTATAGTCCTGAGATTCAAGGTCCGAGGTACCAGGTGCGGCCAAATCTATTATTTGCATCTCTAGATATACAACAGAACACATCACCTTCTCTGGAACTATGGCCCAGGGTGACTCAAAACTACGGTCAGTGGGGAGCACCCCAGGACCTCCCAAGACCAACTCAGGAGGCAGCAAGGCAACTATTTACCCTACCCCTCCCAAAGAAGCTTTCTCCACCGGGGGTCTTTGTCGTAGGATTAAGTAGGATATAAAAATGAAGCTCACAGTTCTATAGATACACTCATCTACGTAAACAGGCCCCCTGGAGCATGCTGGAGAAGCCTCTCTGAAGATGCCCCAGAAAGCCATCCCACCACATGCTCTGCATGTGGACTTGGGCTCTCTCCCCTCCCACCTCCTTCACTGAGCCAAGACAAGGGGCCCTTTTCTAGACCTCTGGCTGCTGTCATCTGCTGAGGCAGTCCAGCATTGCTGTATATCAGTTAAACCCTTTACAGATCTGCAAAAGATATAATCTGAACAAGAAATCATTGGTTTGTTTTTTAAAGTGATTCATGTTTTTAAATGCATGCAAGGGGCTTATTATCTTAAAGGATTCTTACCTTTACATAAAGTTAATTAATGACTTTTCCTAATTTGTCTTCTAACACAGAAACATAACTGTCCAGTGTCAGGTTTTTTCCCAATGGGGTCTACCTCCGCTCAAGACTAACTTGCTTACCACCCCCGCTGCTCCCCCAAACTTCAGTTAGCTCCAGACTGACATGTCAGAAAACATTCTCCAATCTCCCTGCTCCTTGAAGGTTAACATGGATGAAGAAGCGACCGACAACAGCAACTGCAGTCCATTATCTTGTTGACCCAATAAGATTAAATGTCTTTGTTGAGCCAAGGTCACAAGACCATAGGATTTACAGTTGAAAGGTACCTCAGAGATTTTTTTTAAAAATAAGAACATGTTTTCTTTTTCTTTTTGATTCTCACTCACTTGATTATATCTTAAAATGAAAACTATATGCCCCCCCCCCAAATCACATGGTTTCCAAGTTCAGAAGCCTGTCCTTGGTTGGCGAGTAGCTGCAGTTATCATCAACACTTCACTACAAGCATAACCTTCAAATCAAGAGCTTTGCATCAGGCTTCTCATTTTAACAAAATCTTTGCCTAAGTTATTAAAACAAGGGAAGATTTTAAAGAAGGGTACTAAATAAAAATGTGCATTAGCTGGCTCCAATTTCCTCATTTTACAAAAGAGGCCCACAGAAGTTCAGAGACTTCAATTTATCAGACATTTTACTAAGTAACCAGTTTGTAGAAAGCCACTGTGCTACCTACAGTAGGCAGTAGGGATACAAAATTGGGAAATGTGGAAGGTCACACAGGGGATCAGTAATAGATGTGGGATTCAAACCTAGGTTTTCTGATTATGTACCCCATGCTGTGTTGACGATATAGCACAGTGTCTCTGTCCAGCACAGAATAACAGCTAGTGTGCTGAACCTGGAGGCTGCCAGGCTGCACGGCATCCCGAGTCACACCCTCCAAAGTCTGTGTGTGCGTGTGTGGGGGGGAGTGGCAAGACAGGGAGAGAGAGACAGAAGAGGGGAAGGGGGAAGGGAGAGCAAGAGGGGGGGGAAGGAAAGAGGAGAGGGAGAGGAGGGGGGAAAAGGGGAGGCTGGGAGAGGGAGGGAGAGAGAGAGAATCAGTTTAGAAGGCCCCCTTTTCCAAGCTTCTTTCATCTACCACCTTCTCTGACTCCAGGACCACCAAGGATTCAGTGATGCATAGGAGTCCTACCTACTGAGTGATAGAGACAGACCAGCCCTTATCTCCATACAGCACTGCTGACTTAGTCTCCCCTCTAAGTGAACCTTCCCTTAGTATTGCCGTACAGTACAGAATAACAATGGAGGTGAGATATCTCTTCAAGGTTTGTCAAGCCTTTCACACACGCTGCCTCACTTGATCAATGCCACAGCTCACGGGCACTGCCGTCCCTAGTTGACATGTGAAGAAAGTGAGGTTCAGAGAGGATGAATGATGTGCCCGTCATCCCATAACTGGTAAGCGTGAGCAGCAGAATTCAAGACAGAGACTTTTACTCCAAGTTCAAGCCTCTTTCTGTGGAATTTGGACTCCAAGGACACAAGTTCAAATACTGGATCTTCTTCTCACTATTTGTGTGACACTGAAAAGGTCCATTTCAGTTTCCTCACTGGTAAAATGAGAGAATTACACTAGGTGATCTCTAAGGACCTTCTGGCTATAAATCTTATGACCTAGATGGGGTTTTTTTGTGGCTCTCTTGAGAGATTTCACAGTCCCCAAGAGCTCTCCTCTCCATTCCAGTGTCTGTCTGATCTCTCTGAGGGATGGTGCTGACAAC